ACGTGCTTGATTTCTACCGTGTGTTCATACGCTTAGTTATTTTTCTGTTCGTGTATATACTACTATCTGCTACCATCTGTGACTTCGTATGTATTACGTTTTTGCTTTATTTCCTTTCAATTGTTTAGTGTAGTGCTTACAATCCTTACATATATGCATTTGCTTCTATGAAGTCCACTTTTGTTAAATTAAAATCTGTCAGTGCATGTAGTTTAATTTGATTGACCGATTAACTTGGATGTATTACATCATACTTAGACTATTTTGTTTGCTAATCAAATTTTTTTCCTTTACAACATAAATTAGGCATCAACCTGTCTGCATATATTTTCCTGTTTGCATTTATTTATGTTGTTTCATCTGTTCGTCGTTCGCATGCAATAGACGTGTATTTAGTTTGATTTAACTACCACATTGTGAAAAGTTATTTCGGTTATTTCATGAGTCGCATCTTTTAATTTTTAGTATTCTTATCCGTCTTGATAATTTGTTTTAATAATATATGCTTTAATTCGGTTGTTAATGCTTAGTATTTCTCAAAATTGTTAAACGTAACTTTATTTGTTATATTCATTGTTCATACTCAATTCATATAGTTTGTGTATATACAGTTTCTTTTAAACCCATAACCAATAACCCTTTTTAATTGGAGCCGTCTGTTTTCAATAAACAGAATGGGAGATGAATCAAAAATTACTTTTTCAAGACTATCCCCGCTCGCTACTGTTCCGGTCTGTTCATCTCATGGGGAGAAACCTAGCAAATTCAACGGCCATGATTTCAAACGTTGGCAACAAAAAATGTTGTTTTATTTAATTAACGACGTTGAATTTGGCTAAGTATCTCTCTGAAAGCCAACCTCTTCTAGAGGAAGGCGAGACTGATAAGGAAAAATGGCCGCGGTGGATGCGTGGAAGTATTTGGATTTCTTGTGTAGAAATTATCTCTTAAATGGATTAGATGACTCCTTGTACTCCGTGTATGCCGATATAAAGACGGCTAAAGAATTATGGGAATCACTTGAGAAAAAATACAAGACCGAGGATGCCGGCAGAAAGAAATTTATTGTCGGACATTTCTTGGACTTTAAGATGGTTGACCACAAATCAGTCGTTTCTCAAGTTGAAGAATTCCAACTTATTCTTCATGAAATTTACGCTGAGGGTATGTCCCTTAGCGAGTCCTTCCAAATGGCTGTGGTAATTAAAAAGTTACCTCCCAAATGGAAAGACTTCAAGAATTACTTGAAGCATAAGCGTAAGGATATGTCCCTAGAGGAGCTCATTGTCCGCTTAAAGATAGAGGAGGATAACCGCAAATCCGAGCATAAGGCTGGAAGATCTAATTCCATGGAAGCTAAAGCAAACATGGTGGAAGCGGGATCCAAGACGGGGAAGAAGAGAAAGCACAATGACGAAGGAACAAGTGGAGGGAAGCCTTCGTCGAAGATCAAAGTAAAGTGCTATAATTGTGGCAAGCCCGGTCACCGTGCTAAGGAATGTCGTGCTCCTAAGAAAAAGAAGACCGGACAAGTCAATATTATGGACGACCTCTCCGATGACATGGGTGAAATGAACCTATGTGCCGTGATATCTCAATGCAATTTAGTGGGTAACACTAAAGAATGGTGCATTGATACTGGAGCTACCCGACATATTTGTGCTAACAAGTGGATGTTCACCGATTATCATCCTGTTGATAATGAGGAACAACTATTTATGGGTAACTCTTCTACATCTAAAGCGGAAGGTCGCGGTAAAGTTGTCCTCAAAATGACAAGTGGGAAAACTCTAACCTTGAACGATGTGCTACATGTCCCTGATATACGCAAGAATCTGGTTTCGGGCTCCCTCCTTAGCAAGAATGGCTTTAAGCTAGTCTTTGGCTGATAAATTTGTACTTACTAAAAATGATGTGTTTGTAGGGAAGGGCTATCTAAATGATGGTCTCTTCAAAATGAATGTACTTACCATTGTACCCAAACTTGTTGATAATAATAAAGTGGGTTCTTCTTACTTGGTTGAGTCATCTTCTGTTTGGCATGCTAGATTAGGACATGTCAATTATGATACTTTGCGTAGACTAATGCATTTAGAGTTTCTTCCTAAATGTCATGTTGATCCTAATCACAAATGTCAGATTTGTGTTGAAGCGAAAATGGCTAGAAAATCTTTTCACTCTATTACAAGAGAAACTGAACCGCTAGACCTCATACATACGGATCTATGTGATCTTAAGTATGAAGAAACTAGAGGTGGGAAAAGGTATTTCATCACCTTCATCGATGATAGCACTAAATATTGTTATCTGTATTTGCTAAGAAGCAAAGATGAAGCAATTAATGCTTTTAAGCATTATAAAGCCGAACTTGAAAATCAACTTGGTAAGAAGATTAAGGCACTAAGGAGTGATAGAGGTGGTGAGTATGAATATCCATTTGACTCAATTTGTTTGGAAAGTGGAATTATTCATCAAGTAACCGCTCCTTATACGCCTCAATCAAATGGAGTAGCCAAAAGGAAGAATCGGACTTTAAAGGACATGGTTAATGTCATGTTAGTAAGTTCTCGTGCACCAAACAACTTGTGGGGGGTGCTATTTTAGCTGTCAATTACATTCTAAATAGAATGCCCCACAAGAAAACTCTTAAAATTCCATATGAGTTATGGAAAGGGCGCAAGCCAAGTTTTAATTACTTGAAGGTGTGGGGATGTCTAGCTAAAATAGCTATTCCCAAACCTAAGAGGACAAAACTTGGACAAAAGACCATTGATTGTATCTTTGTTGGATATGCACAAAATAGTAGTGCATATCGATTCCTTGTCCACAAATCCCATAACATGGATATAGTGGTTGATATTTTTATAGAATCTAGAGACGCTACATTCTTTGAGAATGTATTCCCTTTCAAGGGAGATTGTGAAGTTGTCTCCTCCGACATGGATGTTTTTATTCCAACCCATGCCGAAGAAACAAACTCACATAAGAGATCTTTTGATTCTATAAAAGAACAATGAAATAGCGCAAGAATGTTAAGTGGGACGCAACAAAAGGGCTCGAAAATCAAAAGATTTTGGACCCGATTTTGTTGTATACCTTCTAGATGATGAGCCTCACACTTATAAGGAAGCCATGTCCTCACCAGACGCTGCCCAATGGCAAGAGGCTATCAAGAGTGAAATTGATTCCATCATGTCTAATCACGTTTGGAAAGTTGTAGATTTGCCTCCTGGATCTAAACCTCTAGGATGCAAATGGACCTTCAAAAAGAAAAGAAGAACAGATGGAACAATTGAGAAGTACAAAGCTCGATTGGTTGCCAAAGGATACAACCAAAAGGGAGATTTTGACTACTTCGATGTCTACTCACCGGTTACAAGAATAACTTCAATTCAAATGCTATTAGCAATAGCTACATTGAGGGGTTTGGAAATCCACCAAATGGATGTAAAAACTGCATTCTTGAACGGTACTTTAGAGGAAGAGATTTACATGCAACAACCTGAAGGTTTCATTGTCCCTGGACAAGAAAGAAAGGTTTGTCGCTTAGTAAAATCTCTGTATGGGTTAAAAGCAAGCCCCCAAATAATGGCATGATAAATTTGATAGTGTAATGCTATCAAATGGATTTAAAAACGTCTTAAGATTGTTATATGTGTGTATAATATTCTACATGCAAATGAAATAATAATTAAATAATTAAGGAAACATGAATAATTACTTGTAACCGAGCCCAACTTAAGCGTTGTTTCCTTAAGACGTTTTTGCCCGACACACGTAGCAATCGTCTCCCAAGATAGAACGGTTCTTCGCTCCCAACGGGATTCCGGTGAACTCAAAGATGCAACGAAGGAAGAGAGAAAATGAAGGATTGTGTGATGATTTTTGGGTTGATTGAAAATGCTGGCAGTCATGGGTATATATAGAGCTCTGGCCAGGAGACTCTACACCCAAAAGACACCTTTAGAAAGAAAGGTCGTGACCTTCCTTCTAAAACCAATGGATGTGTCTATTGTCAAACATTATCCAAAATTAAGAGCGACTAATAGAATTATCTTTAAGCCATATACTCGGGCGGATGGTTTAAGACTCTAACCCGAAACCCGACCCGGCCTACTGAACGGCGGTGACGGTGTTTGCGTGTGAGATATAATTTCACACTTATCTTTCGAGAAACAATTTCTCATTCATTTCAAAATGTTTTTTACAAATAATATTAATGACCATAATATTAATTTGTAAAACCATTTTTCCAACAGCCACTGGGTCCGGGCCGGGCCGGGCCTCGGGTTTGGTTAAAAAAAAAATTTGCTTACCTACCCATCCCTAACCCCCCCCCCCCCTCACCCCCTCCCCAAACCACCCAAACCCGTCCTAAACATCAAGCCCAACCCGGGTGGAGCCCAAACAAATGAAAAAAACCAAAAAAAAAATCAATTTGGCCCGAACCGGGCCCGGGCCTGACCGGACTTTGTTTTGGGTGACCCGAACCCGGACCGGAAACTCATCGGGTCGGGCCTACCCGGATCGGTCACTGACCAGGCCACCTATTCGGGCCGGGCCGGAACAGTACCGGTCCCGAACCAGTTTCGGGTCGGGTCATCCAGCCCGAGTCCAAGTCTATCCACAAGACAAGAACAAGGCGAGCTAAAAATGCAACAACTCACCTAACTTAATTTGTCTTAAAGGCTATTGGCTGTCAAGGAATTGGAGACAAGCTAGCAATCGAAGAAGGTTTTTGCCCAGCAATTTCATTTTATTTTAGTTTTAATTCATATTGTTTTCTTAGAGTAGTTTAATTCATATTGTTTACGTTTCGAGTTGGTTTTTAGTTTTGGACAAACTTATTTTAAGCGAAAAGCGACCAAAAGCGAGAACTTAGAGCTTTTATAAAAAGCGAAAACGCTAAGCGAAGCGTCGCTTTTACACAAAGAACGATGGCTATAGAAAAATACAAATATAAAATATTCCAATGCATAATTAAGTCAAAAACACATCAATAGTCATAATACTCATAATAGTACTAATAATGCGACATAAAGGTAGAAAATATCCATCACACAATGTCATAATAATGTCATAAAATCAACTCTACGAAGTATTATCACTCCATAATGTCATCCTCCACATGAATGTTCCCTTCTTCTTCATCCATAACCAAAGCATCGAAGTCATCACTATCATCATTATACACCCCAACATCTTCTTCATCTTCTTCCTCATCTTCATCAACAAGCCTATGGTGGAGGCTTTTTCCTTGGACTTGGACTTGGAAGTTCCCACTTTTTCTTTCCCTTTTGAATTGCGTCTTAGAGAATATGGTGTATCATGTACACCGGAAAACTTCGCAACGTCCCCCCATGTCAAAGTATCTCCATCATCAAAGACCAACTCTTCGTTTGCATCATCAAGAGTACCCGACAACCATTCATTTGCCATGTCTATATATTCAAAACAAATTGGATCGATAGAGTCACGCATTTCCCACCGACGCCTCAATGCCCTATTGTACTTAACAAAAACCAAATCATTGAGGCGCTTGTACTCTAGACGACTTCTCCTCTTTGAATGTAACTGTTAAGCATTTAAATATTGTTGTTAGCATAGTCAGTTAAAGTAAAAATGAAAATGATCTTACTTATTTACATTTAAATAATTATTCTTACATGTTCAAATACGCTCCAATTCCTTTCACAACCTGATGCACTTGTTGTTAAACTAAGAATCTTGATCGCAAATTCCTTTAAATGAGGAGCACTAGCACCAAATGATGTCCACCAATCAACTAGAGAATAAATTTAAAAAGTTAATGTATTAATTTTTTAAAATAAAGAATATATAGAACGATTAAAAAATATTAACCTGGGGGCTTGACACCTCGTTGTCTCTTCGCAAATGAGCTGCTAAATAATCCATGTCCTAGCTCCCAAGTTGACACTTCATTTGCGATTTTCGTTTGAAGTTCTTCATTTGGAACCAATCTCTCCAAACACTCATAAAATCCTGCTACCACCTCAGCCGAATTAATGGTAGAAGACACCGGTGACTCACCTGGAAATCGAAAGAAATCCGGATTCAAGAAGAAAGCAGCCGCGTGCAATGGTTGACGGAGTTGAGAAGTCCATCTCGTATCAATTATCTCAAACACTCTCTTGCACTTCGTTTCGTCATTGTTGAAGGCTTTGGCTATTGCTGATTTTGTTATCTCCATTGCGGGGTAAACATATCCCATAGCCGGTTTGACATCTCCATCAACCAACCGAAGTGTCGTCATAAGTGGTCCTCCAACTTTAAGTGCCTCATGAAGTGTATTCCAAAAGGATGGCATTTGCACAATTCGGCCACACTCCTTTGCCGCCTCTTCCTTGGAGTAATTAGTTGTTAGGAACTCTTCACAATTAAAAAGTTTTATCAACTTCATCGTGTGCTCCTTCAACCTTTTGAATGTCAAGAAAGTCGTGGCAAATCGTGTTTTAGCAAATTTCACCAAGTCTCTCTTGCCGGTGAATTTTCTAAACAAGTTCAACAACTTCGTTTTGGAATGGATGTAGACCGACAGCTTGAGAGCTCTTTTGTAGGTTGTCTGGAAATGCTTAAGGTCAAATATATCCTTGAACATCAAATTGATGCAATGAGCAGCACAAGGAGTCCAATACATTACCGGGTACTTCTCCATTAAATCCTTACCTGAGCGATTACAATTGACTATTATAATTTTAATTAATTAAAAAAATATTAAAGATAAAGAATAGAAGTGTAAAAAGATAATTACCAGCTTTGACATTTTCAGAAGCATTGTCTGATATCACTTGAACAACATTTTCACTTCCCACCCTATTCACAAAGATTTCGAAGAGCTCTAGCATTTTCTCCCCATTCACGGTGTCCAAACTTACTTCAACTGATTGGATGAAATACGATCCAAGTGAGCAATTAACAAGGACGTTGATATACGCCCGATTTCTTCGATCAGTCCACTTATCCATCATTAATGAACAACCATATTGGTTGCAAATATCCTCATGTGGTTTAAAAAGCTCTTTCACATGATCTACTTCTTTTTTGAGATATGGCACTCTCACTTCATGGTAAGTAGGAGCCTTCATGCCTGGCCCGTGTTGTGCCACAGCATCAATGAAACTTTGTAGCGTCTTATAATTCACGCAATTAAATGGCAACCCGGTTTCATACATCCATCGTGCAAATGCAGTTACAGCCTTTTCTCTCAACTCTTTTTTGCAAGTTGCTAGAGTTACTTCTACCCCTCTTGCTCTTTTCAATTTTTGATGTTCTTTTGAAACACTTTTGAAGTACAAATTCATTGGGCCTTTTATTGTTGATGTTTTGCTCGTACCATCTTCACATTCAATCTCCTCAACATCATCATCATCAAAATCAGGACCTAAAGAGTTCTCTTTCAAAGATTCTTTTCTTTGATTTTTTGCATCCAAAACCTCTTTCATGGCAATTCTAACTTCTTGAGGACACTTGTCACACGCCTTCACACATCGAAAGTCACCGACAAGATGTTGCTTGTGACGGTATATGCCTCCAGTTGTTACTTTCTCACAATAAATGCATCGAACACGAGTATAATCATTTTGTGAGACTTTCTCTCCATGCTGCCATGCCGGGTCCGTAGTTTTGGATTGCATTCCCGACATTTTCCTTTAGAAGTACATGTTTCAAAAATGTATAATGTTTAAAACCAGGCAAGTTTGTTAAAAAAGCCAAATAACAAAACTAGCAGCACTTTGTTCATTCCCAGGCTGGGGATGGAATGTACATGTGCAATGGGACTATGGGAGACTACTTTAAAATACAATAAGTAGCAATAAGTAGTACCAGATGGAGAGAGCAGTTCAATCGCAGCGGACACAAAGAAGAAATACAACAAAACAAAGAAGAAGATAGCCAGTAGCAGACCAGTGTGAAAAGCAGAGTAGCAACGGATGGAGAGAGCAGGTCGTACGATGGAGGAGAGAAGGTCAATCGCAGCGGATGGCTTTGGTGATGGAGAGAGGAGTAAGGAGTTCGTGCGACGCAGAGGGGAAAAGAAACGGGCAGTGTTCGTTAAACCTAATTCCGGAAAAACAAAAAATAGGATTTAAGCCATCTGGATTCTGGACAGTCATATGCGCTTTTCGTGAGAAGCCCATAATAAGCGCGCTTTTTGCGCTTAAGCTCGGCGACGGAAAAGCGTCGGAAAGCTGCGCTTTCTCACGGAGCTGCGCTTCGGAAAAGCCAGGCGCAAAGCATGCGCTCGCTTGCGCTTCAGCGCTTAAGCGCGCTTTTGGTCGCTTTTAATAAGTTTGGTTTTGGATGTTGCAGTGTGGGTGTGCATCTCAATATTGAAAGAGTGTTTTTTATGGTCAGGAGTATTAAAACTCCTAAAACTGGATTAATCTTCAAAGCTCTCACATGATTTGCGAAACAATTTTCTCAGATCAAAACAATCTTTTCTATATCTAGTCAGGGGTGAGAAAACCTTCCAGTTATCAAGCGTCTAGTAAGGATTAAGGAAATGGTCATTGGTTTTAAGCATGATGCAAGGATCAGTTTAAGCATGATGTTTAAGCATGATTTGCGATTTCCTTTAAAGAAAAAAGAGTTGGAGTAATGAGTTCATGGTTTTATTTCAAGCCACTACACCGAAACCCGGTAATGAGTTCAATTTTGCCCCATATGATTCTGAGAAAACATATTACAATGCTACTGAAGATCAAATTACTGCAGCTAATTAAGATAAACGTTACATGCAATGGGGGTTCAGTCAGTACAAACCAAAAAAATATTTTTTCATGGGTTCAAATTTTACATCAATGGGCACCAGGAGATGTCAAAATTCACAATTGAGCTGCCAAACAATGTTACTGTTCTGGAAGCACGGGAGGAGCAATTGTACGAGTATTGTATGATCGACAGTGGCAACACTTCTGCCCTATTATATGGAAGAATACTTCTGTAGTGTCGTTGCAGTCATTGCACAAAATCCAAACCTGCCAAATGACTTCAGTTTCGCAACCTTGAAAAGATTTATATAAATTGGGGCAGGGGAGACAGTAAGTTGCATCCGTAACGGCCCACATTATTGTGATATTGCCTAAAGGCTTTTATCTTGATATGTCACACGGAGAATGTATTTATATATTTGGTTGATGTGAGCTGGTTTAACATGTTTAACATGTCAAAGAAGATAGTTGCTCATGGAGGAGTCCAATATTGGAGTCTGCGTCCTCACTTTTTTTAAGGACACTGATTGAATTGCTTGTTTCAGTCTTTGAGCTTAATATATTTTGGTACCGTTTTAAACCTTTCAGCATTATCATACTAAAAGTGTAAGCAGTAGCTCAAGTCGACAACGCTTTGTGTGTTAGACGTGGAATGACTTAACATGTGTGTAGACCACTACAATGGGAAGGGAAAAGGATATAATGTGGTGATTCCCTAGATCTAAGCAAGCTAGTTGAATAGGGAGCTTTTTAAGAAGTCGGAAGCACAAGATACCTTTCGATCTCTATAATCTTCAGGCATGGCTGTATTCTCAATCTGTACAGCACCACAACAGCAGTCGTAGTTAATGAGAAAAATAATGAAATCACATCATAGTGTCCAAGTTTTTCCAAATTACAAAAATGGATTCACAATATGGCACTCCATGAATACATTTCATAGTTTAGCATGGGTCATTGGGCGGAGAAAATCAATCAAAGAAAGCAATATAAACATGGAGAATGAATTTAAGAATAAAAATGTGAGTCATGGCTCGGACCAATTACGAAAGGGTGACCACACACAGGTTCAGCTTGGAGACCAGAATAGACATCAGACACCTCCATAGGCCATATGTTGTAAGTTTTTCTCCAGTGGGTGCCAGGGGAAGGGGTACAAATTACAATCCTCTTTCAAGAAAAATATATTAATTAGGGTAATGACTAATTAAAAATATATTAATTAGTGTTCTTAAAAGCAATAATGCACCTTAACAAAACAATGGCTAACCATTTACCTAAAAATAAAGATGCATGAGTTTACATGCATAAGTTTGTGAAAATTACCTCTTCATCCATTTCTTTCCAAATAGTTGACATGTCGATGATTGACTTGGAACATATTGGGCAGCAATACCTGAGTGTCATAATAATTACCTCAAGGTTGTATGCATAATTAAATGTATGCCTAAATGGCTATATCTTCATATAGATAATAAATAACAGAAGTTAAGAAACATTACTTCTCACGCTTTATCATCTCACAAAAGCACTCGTAATGCATTGTGTGCCCACATTTCATAACCGTTGTGTCTTTCAGAGAGTCGAAGAGGTACTGTCAGATTCAAGCATACAAAAATTAGAAAAATAATAATATACTTAATAATTAATTTTGATCATTAGTAAATGGATGATAAAATTGCAAAACATACCTCATAACATATAGGGCAGTGATGCCGCATGGAGTTCTCTACACAACAATGGTTGTCACGCAGACTAACTGCATAACAAGAGCCTGCAGAAACACACTTGTTAAGAAAACACTGTATGTTCAATACAATTCAAGATAATAACTTAAATAATTAAATAATTCATGAGCAACGCATGTAGTTATATTACCCCACCCCCCACCCCACCCCACCCCGTTCCTGCTTATCTACCTTCATTGACCAACTTAGCTTTTTCCCCTTTTCTGTCCTTTTATGAGATATATGCACCCAACACATCCCAAAAAATGCCTTTCTTATACTAATATAGGAGAATAGTAAGAGGATAGTAGCACGCAGTATGTATTAAGTGAAGGCATCTTTATGTAATTACAATTTTTCGGATTAATTTATCACCCCAATGCATTTCTAAAAAATGTGGTATCTGATCAATCGAGATAAATAAATAAATAAATAAATAGCAAAGGTGGGATTGATGGTTAAGAAATAAAGGAGATAGCTGAAGAAGTTCAGCAAAGTTTGTGACAAAATTCATAGGTCAGCATAAAAAAAGTAGCCTCATATGTCAGCAATAATTGCAAAACTACGTTACATACCACATTTCGTGCAGTGGAAAAAGTTTTCAAGGCCTCCAACTCTAGAAGAATGGTTAAACAATTGGTATCAGTATAAACTCTATGACATCAGTTTTTCTGCCAGAAAAACAATAGAATTGTTTTTCACTGACCTGCATATTCCACAATCATCACAATGAAAATGCCCTTTCTCTGTCTGCAGCAAGAACATAAGATGTATAACTATATAAGTATTTAAATCACCTCCCAAACAATGTAAGGTCATGTTTGCCACTTACATCATCATCGAAGAAGTTACAAATACTGCAAAAATATTCTCCCATTTTAACACCACAGTTAGTGCAAACTTGAGCTACCTGGACCACAGGCATAAACACATAACATATGCACATACAAAATCAAAGAATATACCAAACTTACTCACAAGTAAGAAGACATATAAGGTAAAGTCGAGAAGCATACTGGTTGCTCCGTATCACAAACTGAACAGATCACCTGAATAAAGACGGAATATTAAATTTAGATGTAACAAGTTCATACGCAGTATGGGGAGAGATGAATGTCAGTACTGTTTCATGAGGACACGTACTTGTTTCACCTCATGCCGATCCAACTCATGCCTATCAAAAGGATTCCTCAACATGCTCTGATAAGAAAAATAAATGTAAAATATTCAAAAAAAAGTTGTAGTCATTCTTTATTCAGTTCTGTGATCATACTGTTATTTCCATTCCTAGTTATGTTGGTTGTATGGACTCGTATTATTTATAAACTCCCATCTGCTCTACTTGCAATCACTCAATCAATACAATTACTCAAATGGTGAAAAAAGCTCAACAGAAAAAGCATCAATAATTTATATAGTTAATTGGTTAGTATAATTGCAAAACACGGTTGATAATAATTTATAAAATTGAAGATATTGTTACAATTCCGACAAACCCTAGCAAATGAATATTGAAATAACTAAACATATACTTCCCCATTCTTAAATAGGTGCAACATGTTGAATTTTACACTATTCACGTGTTCTACTTTGACTACGTTTTATTTATTAATATATGAATAAATTATTTTTAAAAATATTGTTAAATTTGTCTCATTGTAAAATTTCAAAATCTGATTTTTTTACTCCTAGAGAAATATATATATTAATGGTCAAAGTTGTGCATTGGCAAACATGAAAAGTTGAATGTTGCACTTATTTAAGAACAGATGAAGTACATTATAAACTCAACAGCAAGGTTAAAAACATCAATATCAACAGAAATGTCAACCCTCTACTTTTATGGAAATGTCGATGGATATATCGAAATCGGTAAAAAATACTCCTTAAGTCCCTCTGTATTCTATTGTTTGCTACAATAGGGTTTGGCACAACATTTAAGGGAAAAATAGTAGGGGTTGTGAATAGTGTTAGAAAAAGTAGGAAAGAAGGTGGAAAATTATGAAAGAGAATATGAAAAGTAAAAAATGTAATGGTACTTGAGTATTTTTTTAAGGGAAAACTTACCAAAAAGTGAAAGTGTAGCAAACAAACAAATATTTTCCATAAAGGAAAGTGTAGCAAACAAAAGAATACGGGGGCATAATAAAGTAAATATTTTATTAAATCTTTGGAAAACAAACATCAAATCTTAGAAAATATATCTACTAAATTTTAATTTTTGAGTTGAAATTTTAAAAAGACAACATCTTTATATACATTGAAAGTAATATACAGAGTACTACATATGTCACAACAATTCTTCAAGTACATAACCACTCTTAATATCAAATTCAATACTTGTTAGTATTCCATTCAGATTTTGAAAAACTGCATTGATTTAAAATAATTATGGTATTTACAGCTATCACACGTTAATGATATTTGAAATTATTGCTACCATATTTTCTTTTTCTTGGGATTTTCATGATATATCCAAAAGATTTTGATACTTTGTCGATACTAATCAATATCGATTAAATCAATCTATAATATCAACTGATATTTTTACATTTATGTGTCAATACTATCTGATTATATTTTTGTAGTCTGTGGAATTGACAACGGAAATATCAATATACATCTCTGTGGACATAAGTAAGGTTGAAAAACGGAAATACCAGAGGGTTATATGTTACTATGTTAGTATAATTTTCATCCATGGGGAAGGCAAACAACAATATTACACAGTGAAAGAAAAGGAATACCGCGGCTTCATTGTGACAGTGCCGGCAGTCATAGACTTCATTGCAACAAGGTGTTCTGATCCTGCACCTCCTCCTATAGTGCTGGCATCTGAAAAGGAGTGCTGGCATCTCAAAACTAAGACAATTACTACTATATCCCCACCATTACTCAAGCAAAGGAGTGCTCATTCCACCCCACTTAACTTTGGGAGTTTACAATTCATGTACTCAAGGCAACTCCTTTTTGTTCTTTAATTTTCGGTATTAATTCTAAATCAAATTGGAATTTGGTTTTTAATAGAACTTCTGTTTAAATTTATAATATTGTTCCAGATGAATTAACCTAGAGAAATAGAGGGACCATAAGATTTTAATTTTGAACTTGATCATTGACTCATTGTGCTTTAAGTACTTCAGGATTGAGGGTTCAGGGCAAGGACATTAATGTTCAATCCGGCAGGCATAAAGATGAAGGTTAAGAGTTGAATATAAAGATTCTACAGATCAAGATATGTATGGCATTTACTCATCAAATCGTGATATCAATAAACTTTCTGATCAGATCAGGGACAACCACGACCATCAAGAAAATTCATTTCTACAGAGCCATACGAGAATCATCATAAATGAAAAAATCAATCAAACAGTTAATATGCAAATCTGGGTTTTTCTAAATGAAATATATACAGACACAAATAGCGAATATTGGATGATCTTGAATAATAATACAATCATATGAAGGAGGAGGGAGAATGAGGAGTATACCCATAACCCATCTTCCCAAATCCAAGCCGATCGTCGGAGGAGCCTTCCATTCCCGGAATCGAAAGTATGGGCACCTACACCGCACCTCCACGGAGAAAGGGGGTGGTAGGCGCTCGCTGTCAGAAAAGGGAAAGGAAGGCAAATGAGATTTGGGGTTGGAGGAAGAGTGAGAAAATGGGATATAGAGCTGCACAAAACCCAAAGTTGCTTTATTATTTAGATAGAGAAAGATGATAAGTGGATGGATAGTTGCTTCTTTATACAGAGTAGTTATTTCCGCCATTTGCTTCATTGCTTGTACGTATTTATTTCAACCACCTCCTCGGTACCGCACAAAAGAAGAAGAAGAAAGATTAAAATACGTAGGAAAATAATTAAAATTGGGAGAATTATATACTCCGTGTCACACACTCTGGCGGCGGTAAGTAATGCAGTGTACGGGTAGGTGGTTACGGTTTTCCTTGATAATAATAAAAAGTGAGCTTGAAATTACTTTTTCGGACCTTATTGACTGAAGTTACTGTAAATGACCATTTTAGCTATTTTTATATATAACTTTTATTTTATTAATAAAATATATTTTAAATATAATTTTTTAATAGATCGGTAGAATCAGTCAATTCAACCACTTCGCCTAAATAAAAGTTTGAGCGTAACAAGGATTACGGAAGTACAGAAATAAAAGTTGATTTCCGCTTCAGATTACCAAATAAGCCTTGTTCTTCTCCCTCTCACCACCAACCAGCGGGCCCTTTCCTTCACTCTGCTGCAACTTGAAGCGACTGCACTGTGATGCTACCGTCGGCAGCTAATCTAGCAATCGCGCACGATTTCACTAGCTCCGTCATCTCCGGGCTTGCTCAAGGGAGCGGCGAGTACTTCACGCGCCTCAGCGTTGGCACGTCTCCTAGGGCCGATTTCCAGGCCTTCTCATCTTCTTTAAAATCTAAGAGATAAATGAAATACGTACAAGGGTTTATGAACCCCATCTCAAATTGGAATTTTAGAAGAGAGAGTGATAAGGCGGAGTACATGTAAGGATATGTGTGTCATTTTATTCACTTCACTTGACTTAAAATAGAAAGTGGAAAAATTATGGGACAGTCGAAAAAGGAAATTTTAAAGTGGAAAAACTATGGGACAACAAAAAAAGGGAGTATGTACGAGCCATTGAGTTAGTTCTTTTCCCCAGCTTTCTACACCTTATAATATCTATATTAGAAAATTAGGTTTGTTTTTAAAAAATAAGGAAATAACCTGATTTAACAGAAAGTAAACCGAACAAAGAAACAACCAATGTTTGAGCGACACACAAAAATTTCAAAATCAATTCGCTGCCTTTCACAATGCTAGGAAAGTTATAACATTTATTTTTAAGATACTATAGCAAATGAAAAACGCTATTAAGCACTCAAAAAGTTACTTCAGTGAATTGGAATACAGGATAAAATAAAGAAGAAGTTTTCAAAAGTTTGCCGGACTTTGTTCGTTGGAGAGGCGTAGTCATCTTGTACACGCCAATCCGCAAAAGTGGCCTGATACTTTTTTGATAACGTTATTTTCTAAATTATGAGCATCGTCTCAATTATGACAATATCATGGAACCTCATTATACGTGTGGTACTCAATTGCAAAGCTCATCTCAATTGGCTGCAAGCCTGCAAATTTGATAAATTAAGCAAGTGGGGTCCGTGATGCACGTGAATATAATAAAGAAAAAATTAAGAGATTTATAAAATTTATTACCTAAATCAACTTTTATCTCAAGTTAGAATTATATAGTAAGAGATTAAGAGTGAATTGTGTTGACCAATTGAATAGGAAATGTATCTTACAATTTGGGCCCGAGGGTGTAATAGATAACTCATCAGCCAGTAGTTGTGGTATAAGAAATCGCTTGTTACCATATGCAGGTGCGGGGTTTGGAGCAGACTTCTCAACCATGACAACACTTATTTTGTGACCTCTCATTATGTGGTCTGCCAAACACAGCATGCGTTATTATATAATAGAAGTAAGAGAATTTTCAGAATGAAATTCACAGGTGCAGTTGTAGGTTGTATTGTTATAGAAGCCACCAGCATAGTGGGCTGCTGAAGGATCTTCGCAAGAGAGAACTGCATCTCCTTTACTATTCCCTTGCTCATCTATATATCAGTATATAGTTTTATACTCCAGAGCCACTTATCCTTGTTGCCCGCTTTTGTTTAGTTCTTGCAATCTAGTGAAAAGATATTTTATAGGTTAATATTGAGAAGTTAGACATTATTTTTCTGATGACCAACATAATTAGACATAATAATTGGATCATTTGATATAAAGTAGCCTTTACTCATGAATAAATATATTCTAATTTATTGTTTACATATATTATCATTTTGCCTAGGCAATCGCAATGAGCATGACTGATTTTTCAAGCTAGCTTGAACTATACATTTATATAATATAATTCACTTTTATGATAAAGGTATTACTTTGTGAACGTGTAAGTGCTTGCTCATTACCAAGTTCTAGAAATTCTATACGTTTTAAGAGCTCTAATTTTCTTTTATGCAAGGAACAAAGTGATAATGTACATTGCTAAACTAGTGACGTGAATAAGAGTTTTTCTATTTTCCAATGCTTATTTTGTTTGCAGTAACTAACTCGTCTTTACTTGATGTAGTTTGTAATAAGCATTTTAATTTCTATCTTTCATTTGAATGTAGGCAAATATAAAGCTGGATAAAGTGCAGTTGTTGATAACTCCATTACCGTATTTTTCTGCTTGTTGGACTGTAGTTTTTGTTTCTTTCTTGGCACGCTTAGACCTATCATTTGGTTTGTCTTGATATTTTAAGTTTAACCCCATGGCTATATGTTTTCTCTTGCCATTGTAATATGTTTAATACATGTATATTTGACGCGTAATATGAGGCAACATTATTGATAGTGTATGTGTCACAACCCAGATCGCATCTAGGTGTGTGTACAACCGTCGTACAATCAAGTGACGTCACCTGCAAGTCACACTCACTCGATTGTACAAGGCATCCATGAATATAGTTCACACCATACTCATTAAGTAAACATACATAACAACATCAACTGCTTTGGAAGCTCCAAAACGGTAAAGGGATTTGAGCTGTTTGGGTCAATACGCTACATGATAATACTTGCTCTATTATGTAAAATGCTTTGAACTCTGTCTGGCACATATTTGAAAATAATGTTTGTGTCCAGGTTAATGACGGCACTAGTTCCTTCCGGTACACCAACTGGAATAACCTCGGCCCCCTTTATCATTACTGGCAGGATAACCCCTCCTTTGAGATCCATTTGACCATTAGGGAGGCTTTGCCTCATTTTGTATTGACTCCTACAGTCCAAAACCGGCTGCCTCGTTTTGTCAAAGACACCATTCATGTGATGAATATTGAATTTGATTCCAACATTTGGCAACCCAACCCAAATGGCAAATTAAGTTTCAATAGTGTCTATGATGTTACTCGCCCCAAAAATAATTTGAATACAAAAGCCGAGTTTTTATGGAACAATCGTACACCGAAAAAATCCACTTCTTCCTTTGGAGACTTAACAATGATCTTTTACCCTTTGCGGACAAACTAAACATTTTTGGCATTTAAGGGCCTTTCAAATTTCCTTATTGCAATAATAAGGATACAATTGATCATTTTTTTCTAAACTGCACTTTTGCGAAAACTATTTGGAACCATTTTGAAACCATCATGATTTTTTGCGTGCAGCCTATGGCAATTTCAATAATTACATTACTAATTGCTATCTTGATTATCAATGTCCCATTTCTGATTTCAATTATCTTTTGCCCAACATAATTACGTGGCAGCTTTGGAAGATTAGATACATGTTCCTATATGATAGTAAATTGGGGCATACTTACGAGGCTATAAATACTATTAAACATTATATTTTTTCCATTTCGGTTGCCAATCCCCTCATTGCCAAGATTCTGAATGCTCTTTTTAATATCCTGATTATCCCTCCCAAAAAGAACATCACCTTGGAGCGCCTCAGCTTTTGGACAAAACCACCGACAAACACCTTTAAAGTGAATTTGGCTAGTCGTAGACTTACAACCAACATTACTCGCTCGGCTGCCATCATTCGTAATAATGATGGAAGTTATATTAGCCATGTGACCCACATTTTGCGCAACAGCCACACAACTACCTATGAAACACTTCACTACATCATCCCTCTCCTCACCAACACGATGTCAAATAATGTTATCGTAGAAGTCGATGATGGCAATGTTTATGCAAGGATTTATGGACTATCGCTTCAACATTGGAAATATTGGCCTAAGATCCACAAAATTCAGAGGAATATGAGAATAAACACTTGGTCGGTCACCACACACTTCTACAAAGAGCTAATAGAGATGTGGAGATTCTTGCTTACCATAGCATTTCCATCAAAACTAATACTCATCATTTTTACCAATTTGTTGGTATCTTTAAATTTGAAGTTGTTAGGTTTCCTTATGTTTTGTAATAGTTTTCTTAAGTAAGCTTTGGTTTGGCCCTCCTACTATTGTACTCTTTCCTTTTTCAATAAATAGGCGAGGTTTTAAAAAAAATATACATGACAACATCACACTTTAGATTGAATGAATAGCGGAAATATTCAGTAGCCAACCATGGGTCACATATGGCAAAATGTGGGCTCGCAGGCCCAAAACAAAGTATTCATTACAAAATATCCATGAGCATAGTTTATAGTTTCAAAAAAGTGAAGCAAGCACGAATTGTGTTTTCCTTGAGATTCACTTCACCGAGCAAAGGTGCATATAGCAAACTCTAGCTTCAACCTAAAATGGTGCCCCCCTAAGGGATCAGTACACGAATACTGATGAGCAACAGGCTAAATGTAGAATAACTAACGTTTCAAGTATAAAACCCGAACATAGGGTGATTCACATGTTAATAATTTTTCCCTAAGTCTTTGAAATACATACAAGTATATACGTTTGGAAAATATCTGACCTGTAGGTCATTTAATCAAATTAATAAAATCACGGTGGACTTAGTCCTTGACTTTCCCCACCTTCGACCCACTATTTAGTTTCCCTGCTATAACCTATGGTTCATTATATAACCAAGTGTTCATAGCCTTACCCAGCCACCAGGCCACTCTCTCGGTAATAGCAAGTTTTAGGACACCGCGTGGCCCTGGGTACTTCACCCCTAATATCGGAGTTTTGAGGATACCGCCCGGTCCCTGGGTACTCCACCCGTCATAACCGAGTTTTGAGTACACCGCCCTGTCCCTGGGTACTCCACCCGACTCTATGAGTTTTGAGGACACCGCTCGGTCCCTTGGTACTCCACCCGAACCTGTGATCTACCATATACCTCACCCAATTATGGTCTTTATCATATCATCACTAACGACTAATCCAAGCCTTATCATTTAATCATCATATATAAAGCATTAGCATTTAATCATCATATATCAAACCTTGGCATTTAATCATCATATTCCATGCAATTCCATGCAAAATATACTTATATAGGATGGTCAAGGTTAACCCCCCTCAAACCGGGCCCCGATACGCGTTTTCGGCAAAAACGGGCATCGGGACTCGTAGGTTAACCGACGTCGGTTCAATGACCAGAACGATGCAGGTTCAGTGAACGTTTCCTCTTGAACCAGCTGACAGTGGCCAAACCGGCGCTGATTCCGACCCCTGCCTGGCGGGCCGGTGTCGGTCAACGGTCCATTGACCCCCCGAACGTGCTCCGATCGCTCCGAAACTTATACACAATATGTATGAAGTATTAAACAATCAATAAATGTCATTTTGACCATTCAAAGCGTCACATATGTTCTTATAGGCATCTTTATTCAATTACATGCATAATATATTATTTTAGTTCACATAAGACTAATCCCCCCTAGCTAATTGCATGCTTAAACCCTTTTAAACATTGTTATGAATACATCTAACATTTCTTTAGGTAATCTCATACTTAACCCAAGAGTTACAACAT